TCAGTCGTGGTTGGTTTGCCGATATGTTATGTGTTGCTGTGCAGGTGACTCGGCAGGTGGCCCAGTGTAAATGTGCCAAGAGGTTCCAGGTGGAGCAGATAGGAGAGAACAAATACCGGGTAAGTCCAGCTCAGTGTGTTTAATGCATGTGAGCTAAATTAAAAAATAAACTGTTATATGTGAAACTATAAGAGAGAGCTTGTTAACATTTATTGTATTGAATTGATTTCTAATGGCTAACAGAGCTGGGTCAAAGCTGTTTTGCAAATAGCTGCTGGCTTTTCACCAGACAAGTCAGCATGAGCTGTTTTTAACATTCATTCAGTTTTGTTTTATTTTTATACTACTTTACACATAACACAGTTAAAGTGCATCACATCACAAACAGGACCGTAAACAACAAGGATCACAAACACGCCTTGGTGGGTTTTACGGTTTTGTAAAGCATAGGACGCCCTCTGTGCTATGAATAGGAAAAGGGAAGACTCCTTTATTTTTTTTTACCTCTGACAAACAAGCTACAACCAGAAACATGGGTCTGATTGCTGAGAATGATTTTGCAAACTGTTTGACCCAGTTCTTAATGATGAACAGTTTATTTTAACTGGCTGTGTCTTCACTTGTCCATCAGGCACCAGTTTACAGCTCACACTTCTTAACTTCACAGCATCGTAACGTGTCCATCTCATACCACGGCCTCATGGTGTTTGAATCGTCTGTACAGTAACATGATCACATGTCGTGATGACGTTGATATAACGTGTTCATAATGCCTCACAACGCTCCAGGATTGTCAGCTGAGCCTTCTCTGTCATCACCAAAGCATTAACATAACCATGTAAATGTGCTGGCATCGATACACACTGGGCTTCTGGGTAGGAATCAGGTTGATTTAAGAAACCTGTAAGTCTATGTGATCTTAAGGTCATTTGGAGTCTGGAGTGATGCTCATGTTCAGCTGTTTGCTCATGTTTTGTTCACTGTTTTCCTTTTTTGAGCACTAAAAAGGCTAAATAACAGTAAATATCACAGAGTACCATGATTAGTGGAGCTTGGAGAAACAGTCAGGTAACTTGTTGTATGTCCTTTAGAGCTTTGTGTAAAAGCCCTGCTTCACTGGTACTTTGGTGCTATAATCCTAAATGTGTGACAAAGTCAACTTGACTTTGAACCAAAGAAAAGTGTATGTTGTAAATGCACCTTGGTCTCTTAATGCCTGGTGATTTGACTCCCATGGTTCATATACATCGATGTTAAAACCTACAGGGGCCACAGTGTTGTAAAGCTCCCCCAGCAGTCTGTGTGTATCTGTGCAGCATTTTACAGCGGCCAGTTACCAGCAGCTTCTGTTGGACCAACCAAGGCACTGCTACAGTGTGTGTGTGTGTGTGTGTGTGTGTGTCATCTCCATCACTACACCAGGGTTACTAATGGTGCACCAGCTTGTCAGTTTGGTGTTTAGGCTGTTTGTGTGTTTGGCTTCTCTTTTCTTCGCTCTCACTGCCTCCACCTCCATCTCATCACCGTGAGCCGCAGTTTAAAAAGCCATTTTCACATCACTACTGTAACAGGCGCACGCTCACATCCATCGCATCGTTTTGCTTACACCGCTAATTCTGAGCACAAATAACAGAAATGCTCACAGTTTTGACGTTTTAAGAAGCAGTTCTTAGAAGATCCTTTCATACAAAGATGACTTCAGTTACCAATACATGTTGTTTCACTCTTGCTCTTTTTCTTTCTCCTTGTGTTTCTCTGCTCCATGTCTTCTGGATTTATTGTAGTTCTTCCTCGGAAACCAGGTAAAGTGACAGTGCCACTGTTCGGATGTGTGAAATCTGCTTCCTGATCGGCCACCTGTGGAGTGCACGCCTTTCTGCTCTCACATGTTGACCAGAAAAACTGTACTTGTGTTGTAGTAATTCCATATTAAATGCTGATTAAAACGGGGAGGCTCAGAAGAAGCAGCACTCCACTGTGGCTTTATATCATGTAAGCAGGTTTCACCATCCACTTGTGTTCATGCTGTGATTTGTTTGGTGCTGAAAGTGACAAATTGCACAATGTGAAGCAGGCGACAGTGACATGGCTGAAGTGGTACTTAGTGGTTAGGCGATATATACTGTAGTGTGCTTTGGACTGACACCAGGAAGCAAATCCAGCTGCTTGGACAGATTCAGAAAATTCCTTCCATGCTGGTATCGCTTTTGAATTCTGCTTTGTTTAATTTGAATGTTTTGAAAACTTGAATCCAGAAATACCAGTGGTTTCCTTTGTCGGTGATGATGCTTAGATTTGGGTGGCTGGGGAAGTGGGCTGAGAATCAGCAGATTTGCATGTTTTTGCATGAAGTAGAAGTGATGATCTGTTCAGATCTGGTACATGGGCTGCCTGCTGTGATGCTGTGGATCATTTAAAACTCTAAGTAATATATCAGTATTATTTTACTTACTGAGTTTCTCTTCTCGTCAATTCCCTTTCTCTCCCTCCGTCTTCTCTCATCCTCTGCTCTGTTCTGCTCGTTTCTTTTTGTCCCTTCGTCCTCCACAGTTCGGTGACTCTCAGCAGCTGCGTCTGGTGAGGATTTTGCGCAGCACGGTGATGGTGAGAGTCGGAGGCGGCTGGATGGCTCTGGATGAGTTTCTGGTCAAGAACGATCCGTGCAGAGGTGAGTGATGTTTACACCGTTCTCTGGTGTTTTTGCTCTCACACACACGATCACACCTTCGTTCTCCTCCTCCATCTCGTGTTCTTCTGTTCACATGCAGTTGCTAGAGCCTGACTGACACAGTGTGGAGGCCTATACTGATACCTACGTTTAAAAAACAGATGATGATGCATTAGCCAGAATTCCTTTTTAAACATAAACACAAGTCATAAACATTTTTGATAAAGATGCCTTAAAGTAAGAGTGTGTAGTTGTGCATCTAGTATAATATTTAATGAAAATTATAATGAGCTGTGTTGAATTGTAATAAAAAGTATTGTTAGCTGAGTTAATTATTTCAGCATCAAATTAAATGTCAAGCCTGTATAAAGAGCATCTTAAGTACATTTTAAAACATTTAACCTCAAACCGTCTTTGGCCAATGTACATATGATAAGCTAAAAATCTTCTGATGATCACAGTAGTAGTAGAAGCCTGATCAAGAAGCTCTCCCCAAACATTTTCCCCTACACAGCCACCAGATAAAAACACTCCTCATCAGTCACATGTTTCTGCCATTCATGTGCGGGAAATCAAAGCTACGGGCTGGAAAATGCAGAACCCTGTCGAACACCTCATGCATGCGCCCACTGAGCATTAGACTGAATGGGCCAGCGTCTTGGAACCAGTTTTCTTAATATCGGTCAGGCTCTAGCACGTACACAAACACACTGTCACGCAAACAGATTGCTCCTGACACAGATACACCACTAGATCAACAGAGAACAGTGCAGGAAAAGTCACATTGCCACGTTGTCTGTCGCCAGGTGATGCACCGTCACACCGTTGTGTGGTCGCTGTGCTCCTCGGGGCCGTGTCTCTCTCTCCCTCTCTCTGATCCCTCTGTCAGGCCTGAAGGAGCTCTTCATCTTATCTTGTCACATTTTGTTTCTGTATATACATGGCTGGTTCTCTCCTCCTGTCTTTTTTTCATCCTCTCTTGAGTATAACAGTAGTATTGCATGGTGCATGTCCTCAGTTCTCTCCCTTTGCCTCCCCCCTCTCTTTCTCCCTCCCTCCCTCCCTTTTTCTCTTTCCCCAGTGCAACACCCAGGACTTAAGATTCTTCGCTCCGATTCCAGTAGCTCCATCTCATCTCGTATAGGTTGGGTTCTCCTCTCTCTCTTACATTTTCACCCCCTCCTACCTGCCTGTCCTATTTGTTTTAGTCAGCTCCTTGTTTTGTTGCTCCTGGAGTCTTTTCCAGATTTCTTCTCTTTTCTCTTCTTCCTCTGTGTTGTGTTTTTTCTCTTCCCATTTTTTTTCCTCCAGCTCTTCCTGTTTTGGTTTGTTGGTTTGGTCTTCTTGCTGTGCCTTGCTGACTGTCATCACCTCACTAACGTTATGTCTCCCCACAGTTTTTTCCCTTCCTGTCTCCTGAACCTACCCCGGCTATCGCCACTCACGCCACCTCTGAAATCCTGACCTGTTCATGTTTTTAAACCCATTTCATGGGTCAGCAATACTCGTCTCTGGTCAGCTGTGTGTGTGTGTTTACCGTCTGTGTGTCAGTGCTGCTGTTTGTGGAATGAGAGGAGAGATTTTCAATTGATTTATTAACCAGTCAACTCTAGGAATGGTGTCTGCATGAGTGCATTCAGGGTGTTTCCAAAACATTACATATCTGTGTGTGTGTGTGTGTGTGTGTGTGTGAGAGAGAGAGAGAGAGAGAGAGAGAGAGAGAGAGAGAGAGAGAGAGAGAGAGAGAGAGAGAGAGAGAGAGAGAGAGAGAGAGAGAGAGAGAGAGAGAGAGAGAGAGAGAGAGAGAGAGAGAGAGAGAGAGAGAGAGAGAGAGAGAGAGAGAGAGAGAGAGAGAGAGAGAGAGAGAGAGAGAGAGAGAGAGAGAGAGAGAGAGAGAGAGAGAGAGAGAGAGAGAGAGAGAGAGAGAGAGAGAGAGAGAGAGAGAGAGAGAGAGAGAGAGAGAGAGAGAGAGAGAGAGAGAGAGAGAGAGAGAGAGAGAGAGAGAGAGAGAGAGAGAGAGAGAGAGAGAGAGAGAGAGAGAGAGAGAGAGAGAGAGAGAGAGAGAGAGAGAGAGAGAGAGAGAGAGAGAGAGAGAGAGAGAGAGAGAGAGAGACTCTCTTCATTCCACATGCATGCAGTTATTTCACATTGTCTCTTGTGTCTCTCAGTGACAGTCACCCCTGGCTATTTCTGCTGCAGAGGTATCTACAATTCCTGTCTGTCTCTCACTCCATTCCTCCATCTCTTTCACATTCCATCAGTCTATCTGTCCAGCTGTCGGTCTCCATCTTCAACCATAGCTGCCCTCTGTGTGTCTAGATGTGTGTGTACAGTGGTCAGGGTTGTGTGTATAGGCATAAATGCCACATGTTTGTCTTCATGCTTTTATTACTCACAACAAAAGCAGGATGTGGCCAACCCCTGGTCTTTTTAAAATGATAAAGGTGAAGATGCTCAGCAGAAACCAAAAGGAAGGCTGAATGTGTCAAACCTTTCAGACGTCTTGTACATTTTTACATAGAGAAATGTAAAACTCTCCTAGCTGCTTCACCAAATATCAGTCAGTGAGTGTGTAAGACCTGGGTGTGGCCAGCCTGGGTTTCTAATAACGCTAGCGTGGCTCCTTTAAATGTGATGGCTGGTTGGTGGGAGACACAATTACAGGGTGCACCTGGCTGCCTGACATTGAGGGGTGACGTAATTGCAGGGTGCACCCGTTTAATTGACTGGCCTTGCTGTTCAGCTGCTAGAGACGATGACTGTGAGGTTAGGAGCTGCACTGCTGCTACAGCTAGCTGCAGCCTTCCTCTCCTCCCTCTTTCTCTTCTTTTTGACTCTTTTTTTTCTACCATTAAAAACACTTATTCTTGTTTCTCTTCCATCTTTCCTCTGATTCTGTCCTCTATTTCTCTTCCCTGGCTCTTCTGTGTATTTTTTGTTACCTCTTCTCTCTCTCGTAGTGGCTGGCTTCTCCAGGCTTCTTGTTGTCTGCTGGGGCTGCTGCACTACTTTCTGTCCGAGAATGCTGCTGAGTGTCTTTTGAAGAAGGGAGAAACCCTGAGTCTCTGGGCTCTCTCGCGCTAAGCATAAACCAGGCATGGCCCCCACATGTATTTATACACGCACTGTGTATAACCTGCAGAGCTGAGGTGCTCCTTCACAGCAAGAAGAAGAAATTAAGTCAGATGGGACAGCTTGATGAAAGGCTGTGCTTATGCTCCCGCCGCCCTCAGATGTTTTTAAAGCAAATACGCAATGAAAGTGTGTGCGAAATACCTCTTCTCACAAAACTGGAGACACTTGCCATTGCTTAAAGGGATAGTTTGACATTTTTATTTGCCATCTTGTAGAGAATTAGACAACAAGATCAATACCAGAAGCTTCAGCCGGCAGCTGATTTCTTTTAGCTTGGCGTATAGACTGGAAACAAGGACACGGTCAGCCCACCTCTGTCCAAAGGAGCTTCAGCAGCTGACTAATTAACACTTTGTTGTGGTTTTACAGGGGGTTATATGCTGGACTATTTCTTGGCCAGACATCTTGGACTTCCCTTTAACCCTGGTAGTAGATTTCACTATCTGGTGTCATCTCAGGACAGAGCTGGGCCTGGTGCCTTATGCTAAGCTAACCTAAATGAGAGTGGTATTGATCTTCTTATTTAATTCTTGGCAGAAAGTAAATGTGCATTTAATCTACATTCTGTTAGTAGCTTTTTAATTCTGTTGAGCAGAAAATAAATTGAGGGGTTTTTTTTCTAGCTATGTACAAGGAAGTGTGTAAAATGAGAAAACTCGACTGGTGATCAAATTGTCTGCAGTGATGACAGTGTGTCTCTACTGAACGTTGACTTGCTGACTTTCATTGCGTATTGAATTAATCTCTTGCCTTTGCACTCGAACCAAACACAGTCACTCACAGGTCTCCTGAAAAACTCAACTAAAGTGCACTTATGACCTGCTGA